CGCTGCATCTCCTTTTAACAAGCACTCCGGAACAGCAAATACTCTGTAAGGCTGTGCAGCAGAGCAGGAAAGTATCTGCGAATCGCATCTCTCGCAATCATATTCCTGTTGTTTGTGAATTATCAGCTGGTATGATTCACTGAAGGCAGAATGCCAAATCCTTCCCTGCTACCATATTAACAGTGATATACTGGATGCAAACCACATAAGCTTAGTGTCATTTGGCTGCGTTTCCTACTCAGTATGGGAAAGAAAGAAAATAAAATGTGCGCAGCCAGTGTGTTTCACTCCAACTGTCCTCAGGCAGAAAACATTTGCAAATAATGTTTTCCTTTCTTTGTTTTTTTTTTTCTTGCAGACATCAGTCTATTGGGAAAACTCAGTTACCACACACATGTCGTAAAACATATTACAGGAGGTGGATACAAATATTAAAGCAGTTATATTTAGTAGCTCTAAATGCAGAGAATTGCAGCAGAATAATCTATTTTTCATCCAAAAAGACTACAGCAAAATTGGCCAGAAATCAATTTAAGCTCTATCTGGGTGTTTGGCACATGTTCCGCTAATTATTAATTAAGCACAAATATTAGGCCAGCCAGCTGAATCATAATATTGCTATTGTGTTATGTTACTGTTATTTTAATTACCCTCTTCAATCAACCAGGTAAAAAAAAACAAAAATGAAGATAGATTGCAAAAAAATGCATATATAGTATAAGACCCAGGACAGACACGCAGTCAAGACAAATTTTGCTGTGAACTTTTTAGGAACACATTTCTTCAGGTACATATATAACAGCCCATCAATAATATATAAAGTGGTAGGTAAAGCAGCATGACACATGGTATTTCTGGAAAAATTAAATAAATGAAGCAGCATAATATTTGTGACTTTCTGTATTTACATTTCAAAACAGATTACTGAGTAATCCTTTGTATCAACAGAACACTACAGCTACTACGAAATGACTCCCTAATACCAAAATACCAAAGTATTTCTTGTCATAAAGGTTTAAATGGGCATCAAATACGCTGGTAGCAGGAAAGCAAGCGCCCAGTGAAAACCAAAGGGCACTGCAGAGATATTAGAGGACTGTGTTAAGCTGAAGGACCTGCTCATGTCATAACATGCTCTTATAGCAAAGGTGTTTAATGAATAGTTCATACATCTGGATATTCTGTTAAGTACCATAAAAGACTAACAGAATCCAAAAAGCTTCTGAGAATTGCAATGGCCTCAGCTGCTGCAATATTCATAATGACATGATGAAAGCCAAATCACAGACATTTTTAAACGAGACTTGCTAAACGAGGAAGTCACCACCACTGCTTCTGAATTTAGTCCATGGTCTAAACATGTTTATTGAACAGGTTGGATCAATGGTACAGCATGCGTGTTTTCTTTTATATTTTGGTTCAAATATTTTTTTTTCCTACCATCATATCTTCTATTCACTCATAAGGGTTCAGATACAGTGCATTTTAGTTTGTAGAAGATACTTTATCACGGAATAAAATATAAGTAGGTTTGAAAGGAATTTAATATCTCTGATGAGATTCTTCATCATGAGACTGAATTAATTAAAAGCATAAATGAGCACACATCAAAAAACACATCAAAGTAGTAAAAAGTTATTAGTTGTTTAATATATGGGTGACTACACAGCTTTTACTAGGTGGAGGAAAAAGGTGAGTAAAGTCAGGATCTTGGGGGACAGTTTGAGTAAAGTGCCTTCTTAGCTGTCTCAGTGAAGAACATTTTTACATAAATAAATACATGAGTATATGAATAAACCCATTAATTTTCACATAAAGAAGCATTCACTAGTCATACTTCAGTTGTAAGCACCTATTGTATCTGGAGGTTCTGCGCACATGGTCCATGACAGAATAAATGTGAAATTTCTTACTTAGATCACTTACTCACAGGTAATGTTCATTCTCACACCAGTAAACACTTGTCTATGAATATTAGTGCTTTTTTTTCATTTGTCCTAACTTTGATAGATTTGCCACTATTTATCCAATGAGCATATTCACATCTGCACTCATATGAAATTAAGATACACTTAATAATAAATTTTTTAATGACTGAAATCTGGAAAAAGATTCATGTCAAGATCATAGTGCATCTGCTGCCATCTCTGGGTTTTTTGTACATCAGGTGAGAGTAAATTCAATGGGATCCTCACAGAACAGATTTTTACAGATGACTTTGTGAGAGGTAGAAGTGATGATGGATAATTTTCAAGGGTGGTCAAGGTCATTGCCTTTAAAAGCAGTTCAGGGAAGAGAACCGATCTGATGTCCTGAGTCACAGAGCTTTGAATTAATTTCCCTTTATAACAAATGCATATATGTGGGTGACTACACAGCTTTTAAAAAGTGGAGGCAAAGGTAAGTAAAGTCAGGATCTTGGGGGACAGTTTCAGTAAAATAGTGTCTTCTTAGCCGTCTCTATGAAGAACATTTTAAAGAAATAAAATATATGAATAAAAGCATGAATTTCCACATAAAGAATTGTGGTGGTGGAGGTGCTGAAGAGATGTGATGAGGACTCATCATTGTAAGCACCTATCTGGAGGTTCTGCGCACATGGTCCATGACAGAATAAATGTGAAATTTCTTACTTAGGTCACTTACTCACAGGTAATGTTCATTCTCACACCAGTAAGCACTTGCCAATAAATAAAGGTGTAGTAAAGTGATTTAAATAATTTAAGCAATGTTAGTATTTCAATATAATAATGATTAGATTACCTAGATGACCTAATCTACAGTAAATAAATCCTAAATCATACAAGCTGTTTGGTAAATATTTGAATTAACAGTGAAAAAAGTTGCAGATTCCAGCCTTGTGTGACTGGTTCATGTACAGATATACATTTTGCTGATAATCTAAGCATATGTTGGAATGAATGAATCCATGACTATTGATTTTCCCATATTTCCAACAGTGGTTTTCAGTGACTGATAAAAGTGAAACCACTGGAGATCTGTTTTTGTTTGTTACTGCTTATTGCAAAAGAATAATTCATTTATAAAGAAAAAAATGAGCACATGTTTTGATGAGATTCAAAGTTAACTTTACATTCGCAAATTCATGAATCATAATACAGAATTACATCCAGGAAGGTCTTTTATACAACACTAAATAAATTGAAAAATAACTTGACTTAAAACTATTTTTATGCAAAATAATTCAAAAACATTTCAGCAATATAACATGTTATGTTCCCTAAAATGTATAATTTAGAGTTCAATTCTAAATTACCATCAATGTCATCATTGTGTCAGAAAGAAAATGAGGCTTTTTTTGGGTGGCATTGGGTTTCCTTCAAAGGTCCCATGGACTATGCATTTTATCGACAATGTTTCTGAAGTGTCACTTTGGGATCAACAAGCCCATTTTCCAATATAAACAGAATTTTTCTTTCATTGAAATTTAAATAATAGATTTAATGGCAATAAAAATGGACAAAAAAAACAGAACCACTTCATAAAGTTATAAATTGGTATATTGTTATAAATAATATGTAAAGCATTTATGCCATCTTGCATCATGTGCCCCTGCATTTCTCATTACACAATGCGCATATTACTTTGCATGAGGAAAGCACAATAAAAATTATTGTTCCGTGTTTGGTTTGTACAAATTCGGCTGTCTTCCATTTGGGTTATATGGTGCGCCGGTCATCGTCACGTGTCTGATTCCCCATGTTAAGTGACATTTTTAATACCTCAGGGTGACTCTTCACTCTTTGAGGAAGGCAGACCTCAGAGGAAACCAGATAAAAAGGTTGTGGGAGTATGTAATTGTAGTATGTAAAAAGTGTGTGTGTATCTGTAATTCTTCTTAAGTTGTTTGCAAGTTTAACCAAAAATAGACAATAGACAGTTATATTCTTGATTTGAGTATGTCCTGTAATCACAGGAAATGTGCACTTTTTTATGTCACAAATGATGTGTTTCAGTCTCCATGGAACAAGGACCTTCACTATCTGTCCTATCTGACTACTACTTTATATGCTTAAATTACATTTCACTTTTTTTTGCTGTTTCATTCAAGTGGGTGACTTGAGTGTCATTGGTGAGCACTGTTGCCTCAAACTTTCAAGGTTCGAATATCACCTCTGCTCTGGGTGAGTGGAATTTGCATGTTCTCCTTGTGTCACACTGGTTAGTCCTCATAACCCAGAGACATACATTTAGCATAGATTGTGTATTGACCGTAAGTGTGTGCCATGTGATAAGCAGATATCCCAAGCAGGGAGGACCCCATCCTTGGGCCCTGTGTTACCTGGGATTGACTCCAGGCCACCCCAAGACCCTGACGAAAATAAGCTATTTCATTGAAAGATGGATATTTAGCGCGAGCACCACCCATTCCAAAAGTCAGAAACCAATTATTCCAGATCTGCTTTTGCTACCTCCTTGTATCACGTTTCTGTGCCCAAGTTGACATTACTTCCCCTAGAACTTCTATCAATATTAAAATTAACTCGTCATTATCCGTCATCATGAGCCAATTAATGTTGAATTGCCGCATCACACTGATCGGAATTAAACTTATACAGCCTTATTCTCTGTTCCACTAAAGGCTGCATAGCATTACTTGTCAAGTTAAGACCTTGAAAAACAGGCCCTCCACTTAGTGAGACACTAACTAGTGTGAATCTACTTCCGCATTTGGTGATGAATACAAGTTGGAAAACATAAAGGCAAGAAGGCCAGCAATGGTGTAAATTAAATGGCTAGGGCATTTCTCGTTAATAAGAGAACTATTCATTAACAGGACATTATCTTATTGAATTACTGCCTGAAACTGATACTGCAGAATTATATAGATTTACATTTATTTACATAGCAGACACTTCTGTCCAAAGCAACATGTAAGTGAGGCAGATAATCCATCAAGCAGTATCCTGTACAATCTATATTCCGCGTTAAGTGGTTCCGTTTAATGATCCACACAAATGAAAAGGAGAATTATACTGTTTATTTTTATATATTTATATTATTGGTCTTACTGTTATACTTTATATATCTTTATACATGGGAGACAAGTTACAACCGGTACTTATACAGTAAGCAAACATAGAAAAATAGTTGAATAATAATATTGGCACAGATGAATTTCTAAAGTGATGGAACATATTTTCAGCAAAAAATAAATACAGTTACATCTCACAGTGAATTAAAAAATTTAGACTTTTTTTACATTCATTTTTGAATTTACATTTAAGGATCGTGTCAAATGTCAGTACAATACTTAATAGCAGACAAACGGTAATAAAATTAACATAATATTGTAATTCACAAACACTGCATTTTGTAACAAGTCAAGCTGCCTATTTAAAACAAACACTTTAACACGCCCACACCCGCGTTAAGCAAAACAGTGAAAAGAAGTTGATGGCTGACATCTTCAAAGCTGGCATTTGGATAAAGGTTTACTGAATTATAGAAGTAAGACTGGATTTGATCCATGGCACACAGAATGGCTGTTTGATCCACTCTAAAAACATCAAGTGAGTGATAGTTTCTCATTACAAAACTCTGTTGCAGTTGGAAGGTGCAGTAAGTCTCTTCTTGATAACAGCACCAATAACTTACTGTGAGGAAAATATGAAGAATTCAAAATCAAGTCTGGTTTTACACTGAAATGTAATAATAACACTGAACATTACATTCTTCACAGGATCTGACAATGAAATTTAAATTTAACTCAGATAAGTGGCAAAATTATATATATGTGTGCGTGCGTGTGCGCGCGCCCGTGTGTGTGTGTGTGTGTGCGTGCGTGTGTGCATAAAAGATATGTAAGGTATCCTATTCAACATATAGACACAATAAAATCTGCAATTTGAAAATGCTGTCTGAAAGCTATACTTGTTTGAATATAAATCATGCAATACTAATACATAACAAAAGACGCAGCATTAATATGTAGAACACAAAGAGTATTTCCAAAGTTGCTACTGTATTCGATCTACATAATAATGGAGGTCTCCGTTATCTGGGATTGTTACAGATTTCTCTACGGTATAAGCCTCCATTTGCAATGTGGTAGCATTTTGGCAAACAAATCGCCCTTTGAAGGAAAACAAAGAAAAAAGAAACTCTTCAGTGCCAATCGATGTGAAATGATCCATGATGCCTTGCAGTCAAAAGGTTGCTTACACAGAGAAAAAGTGGCTTGAAACTGATTCTAAATCCCAATGGGAGCCATTTAATTAAAGTCAATCATGTTGACACACTGCTTGCGATGCAGCGATAGTGCAAACCAAAAAGAAATGATGTAAATACAAAGAGCACTTTGACATGTCACCTTCCACGACATCCGAGGATGGCAGGGAGATGTGATGACTTTCAACTAAATGTCCAACATACATTCTGATACACAATTAGACATTAAAACCTTAAAGCGACAGTAACAACCAACATAACGATCCTAGCTAAACAGAACACTGCAAATGTAACAAAATATGCCGCATATACAGTTATTGTTTTGGTTAAGAAATGATATGCCCTATGTGAGTGAATGGTGTGTGAGTGTGCCCTGTGATGGGTTGGCACCCCATCCTGGGTTATTCCCAACCTTGCGCCCATAGCCTCCAGGATAGGCTCTGGACCCCCGCAACCCTGAACAGGACAAGTGGTTACAGAAAATGGATGGATAGGTGCATGGGTGAATAGATGGATGTCTGGATTGATGGATGGATGATATGTCCTTCTACATATGTACAGGCTATTGGGTGTGCCTTGTTATTAACACAACAGCTTTCAGTAAAAAAACTGTAAACTTGTTATATCAGAATGGTCTTCATTGCTACAGTATGCCAGTTCCTCGTAATAGAGGCTCCCTGAAACTATCCTGCGCCGATTACTGAGTTGTTCATTTTATTATGCATCTTGGAGCACCGACACAAGACACTGGAGATAAATGCAACTACTGTGACTCAGTTTGTCTCCAGACTTTATACCCTCCTTTAAAAAGACAAATGTCTGAGAAAAATAGTCATGTGAATGGAATAGAAAATCTTCTTCTGGTAATGCTGTTCTGCTAAAGGGTGACACAGCAAATGGTGATATCGATTCTGCTGATGCCCCAGTGAAAAAAGAAAAAACAATAATGGAATTATTACCAATAAGAATAGTCTCATACCGTGGACACCAATGTATTTTCCTGTACAATACTAATGACATTACAAATTTTTACAGATTTTTACATTATGGTATGTGTGCAATGCAATGCCTTAAAAAATTTAGGAATGATGTTTTTTTAATTAGAAACATATGTAACAATATGCAGTACAATTACCATATACTTTACAATTTGTTAATAATAAGTGTCAGTAACGAGTTAGGTGAGAGTTTGTATGAGTCATTTTATCTATTTGGCTTGGTTGTGTAGATGACAGAATACAGCATAAAACACACGCACACGCACACACACCCGTTGAGACAGGATTTGAAAAACAAATGCTTGCCAAGCACACTTAAACGTTCTTTTCCTTTCAGGGAAAGTTTTTCCAACACTTATTCTACAAGAAGATATTTTCACAGATTGCTTATAATCTGGAGGCTTTAAAGCATGTTTATGATGTACAAAACGTATAAATCAGAGAGATGCATACTGAACTATTTTAAAAGCTTTCATAAGTCATCCTTCAAGTACATATCTGTGGGAGATTAGGGTTAGTACTTTCTGTTTGCATCAATGGCAAAAAAATAAAGTACATGTACATAACTATACAGTGGAGCTGACTTCTGTATCTCCAGTGACCTCTTACCTTTCTTATCTTACAACGAAGGACAGACGAACGTTACTTAAAATAGCTGAGCCCGGCAACTAGAAAGAACTTCTCCAGGAAGAGCTCTGAGTCCAGCACGGCAATATGAGCAGCTCGGCCGATCAAGGTGTTGGCTGTGTTGGGCAGGGCGTGGAACACGTTCTGACGGATGAGCCGGCAGTCCTTAGCGTCTAGCAGGGGGCGCAGCAGGTTGTTAATCATCTCCGTGTACACTGGACCTAGAGAGGAACCAAACAGGCCAATCACCATTCTGTCTCTCGGAGGGTTAAGGGAGCCCCGAGGCTCAGAAGCCGAGTACTGCGCACATAATCTCGAACGAAAATGAACATAGGCTTCAGAAACTCTTTGCCCTTGACAAAAGTTTGAAACATTCCAGCAAAGTGACAAATGCCGGGAATTCAAAGCAGAGTGTAATATATCACCTACTTTGTGATACTTTACTGGAAATTTTTATTTCTTAATCCATTTAAATACTTGAACGTTACAGTATACTTCTCGTGTGAAGCACCTGAGTCGGCTGAAGTATTCTTTTCAAACCGTCTATACTCTATAGCATAAGAGATTTGTATGAAAATAAATCAGCAGTGAACTACATAAGAAGTAACTGTGATGGCAGACCGAGGTTCTTTATCATGGGCATTCATGTCGTCCAGGTACACACTTTGTAGGTGTATTCCAGTTCTTAGAGCAGTGAAAGTCCAACGTATTCAAAATCCTACAAGGACCTATTTCAAGATACACCTGAGCATATTCATAGACTTGAAATGCTTATAAAAACAAAACTAAAAATGTGGTTAGAAGAATTAAGTCATATATTTGTGTTTGTAAAAAATGAGATTAAGGTTGCATATCTATCTGCAATATCTGCAATAGTGAAGTGCACCAGGTTACTATGGTAATGTATGCAGATATACAAACAAATTACTTTTATCATTTATTGTAATTATTATAATTACAATAATAATAATAATAATTATTATTATTGCTGTTATTGAACTGAAATATAGTGATCCTGAGTTAGGACTGATGTGATATTTTGTTGTATGTTTGTAAGTGTGTAAAAAAAAAAAAGAAAAAATACATAAAGCAAAACCTCCAATTATATGATGCCCTTTGCCATAGTATGATTTCCAGTATCAGAACAATGGCCCTGTTTACATTTGGTATTAAAATGCATTTGGCCGATCGGATCATGGCCGAGACGCATCTCCGTTTACACCCGTGTCTACCATGCGTTCCCAAGGTATCCAGCTGACAACGTGTTCAGATTCCATTGCTGCCTACGTCACTTAGAAGGCCAAATGGCCCCACCCACAGTTTCTGTGAAATCCTTCTTGGGGACGCATCAGGTCACATTAGCATTTACGCTACAAAACATATGTGGACACCTGCGTCCCAGACCACCTCTGCAAGTAGCTTGAGTGATCAGATCACAATGCATCTTGCAGGTCGTTTGCACTTGCATTTAGTGCTGTCCACAATCCATTCACCCAAGTCGCATTTTAAAACCGAGTGTAAACAGGGCCAGTAGTGTTTAAAAGCTGTTTTATAGTATACAGAACAGTTAACAATAGTATTAAATAGGAATGCAGCAAGCAGTACCGGTGGTTCTGTCTTTGAGAGCCGTCCTGCACATTTCTATGCGGGCGGAATGGAAGGGCACGTAGCGGTCCTGGGGTGAGGCCACCAACACTACGTTCTTGAAATACTGCAGACCTGAAACAGGAGAATGATATTCAATACTCTACTATCTCTCTTTCTCAGTGCACCAGTCTTCAAATGTGTTATTTTTCTGATCATCTTGGAAAATTGAAGCGACATAAAACTAATCTGTTCAATTCACATGTGTGAAAATTTTCTGACGTGGAAGATGCAGTTGGAAAGGAAATCGTTCTTGTTCTAACCCGGCTTCTGGCTGAGCAGATAGAGGAAGGTCTTCCGAGGATCTGTGTGATCTCTAAACGTCAGCTGCAGCAGTGATCCAGACTTCTTCAGTTTCTGCATCAGCCACAGACCTTAAAGATAGTTTAAGAAGTTTAAAGAGCTGGATACAAACTGAGGGAAGTTAGAGAACATGATTGTCGCCACTGTATCACCCTAGACATGCTAGGGTCACTGTCACTGGCCTTACCGGTGCTGACCAGTGTGCTGTTGTTGTATAAGGTGCCCAGATGGGGGCCAGACAGTGATAGGAAAGTGTGAAGCTTGCAAAGGTAGCAACGAAAACGTGGCCTTGTCAGCACTGACCGGATAATCACGTTACCCAGGGAGTGTCCAATGAAACTGAATAAAACAAAAACAAAATGACCACAACATAACATTTAACAGTTTTCCTTGTAATTCTGATATTATCATGTTAATGTAACTGTGTGCATGTCTGTTTAACCGCGACAACCGATATAGTACAACTTCCACCCACTTTGTTCGGAAATAGTTATCGAAGAAATAAAACACGGTAAAACTCTTTTTTATGTTTTGGATTCTAGAAGCACAGAAATCCAGATTCAGTGTGCATTTTTGCAAAAATACTATAGCTATTGTAAATTGTACTCAATTGTCTAAAACTATCAAAAGAATTGCTTTTTGAAAAATTATTGAATTAAACTTAATTGAATTAAGGCATTGGCTGTAAATATTGTATAAATGTGCAGTTCAATGTAACATTTTCTTATATCTAGCGCTGAATTATACTAAATTGCTGCAGGTCAAGACTGCCACCTAGTGGTTAATAAAAAAAAAAGGAATTACTGGGTCAATCTTTTTGTTATTCACCGCAGACAAAACCACATTCCAGGGGCGCAGATGGTTAAATTGAGTTATATAGAGATCCTGATCTCCGCCCCCAACCCCACCACCCCACACACACACACACTTTTGAGAGTGAAAAAAAAAACAAACAAAACTTTGATAAGTAGCCTCCCTAAATAGAGTTGGATACCGTGATGTTTTAACTCATCAAACTGTCGACCATCAAGAACTCTTTATAGCATGTGTTTGCTGCAGGTAGGAGTCCCCTCATACACGCGTGGATCCCGGGGTCTGCACACATGCGCCCGCATAATAATTCAAACACAGATGTCACTTTCTAAAGCATTTTATTCAAAAACATCTATACTTGCCGCATTTGGGCATTCAGATTGTATTCCGCCGTTGCGGGTTTTGCGTCCTGAACAAGCTAAGAACTACGCTGCCTTGAATTGTGCCGGATGCAGTTTTGGTCACACGGACCAAAGCGATATTATAATACAGAAGAAAAGCAATCCGGAAAAAAAAGATCTGTCACAGTGTTCTGTCAAATAGCAAGCAATGCAAGTAGACGTAAATTCTATATAGGCTTAATCTATACCAAGTCTATGTTGGATGCAATTGTCAATATAATTTTCCCATATCACTGATAGGTTGATTTATGTTACTGCAAATAAGAAAAAGACTTCATCCAAGTTTGACCTACCATTAAATTATGTCTGCTAGAATAAAACTATAATCTATTAATGTGTCCTCACATAATATGTAACATTACAGTATACTGGGGCTCAGTAAAAACGTAAAGTTAAACTTGCAACAAATTGTAGAGAAATCTGTTTTTATGCTATGCTGTCCAATAGGCCGTTTCTGGGTGATTGGCAGTTCCATACCAAACAGCACTGCATCATTGTATGTATATCAGCCAGTGTCATTCAGAATGTTCAGTTTATTGAATCAAAATCTCGCCGAATGCTTCATCAAGTGTGGCTGGAGAAGCTTAAGAGTTGAGACCTTTTGTTCATTGTTTGGCTCCCCCCCCCCACCACACCATTTCTGAAATCTCACCTGCCTGCGCCCCTGCCACATTCATTGTAAAATCTTGTACCAAATTGTTAAACTGTTACATATTGGACCAAGAAAACCCAAAAATATGTGCTGCTTTCTGCACAATCTGATGTGGTCACCAAAAGAATCTGTAAGACCTTCTGACCTTATTCTGCCTATGGTGAGGTTATAGAGCTGAATATGCTGAATGATTTCATCCAGCAGTCTGTCCGTCATCGTGTCAAAATCAGCGAAGGTATCTGTCTAGTAGAAGAAATATATGGAGAAAATTAAATGCTTTTGCAGGAAATATTTCATTTTACCAAGACGCAGTTGATGGGATATCAATACTATACTGGAATTCTGTGCATGTGGAAAGCATGGATGCTAGGATCCAGCAATGAATAAGTTCATGATTTACCGAAAACAAGACCTTCACCTGCTTACCTGGTTTCGCTCAGACATCAGGAAGTCCAGTCTGGATCCAGGCAGCCCTAACTCAATGAAGGTCTTCACCAGGCGTAAATCTGCACTGTTTCCTGTCAAGAGTTTAGCAGGAATGTCAATAGTGCTACTGTAGCACTTACAGAAGCATTGTTAACGCAAACAAATTAAGTTTTTAAACTGATTTACATGCAATAAATGTTTCATTAGCATGATTAGAGAATTCACTCTCTCGCTGCTAGCATATTTTCCTGCACTCTAAGTGATACAGACCATCTAGGCCATGGACACAAATCACTAAATGGATCCCATCGTCAAACTCCTCCTCATCTTCCTCAGGGGCAAAATAGGGAAGCTCGGAGGCAAGCTGAGGAAGATCGCTGTACAGAGTGGCGTTGAAGTTGAGTTGGGTCATCAGCTCCTCTTTGGCCTTATAGAAACTACAATGGCATTGAGAACACAGAACGTTAACTATGGGTCACCAAAATATGGTCATCTCAAAGTCTCACCGTTTGTCGGTTGTTGTTTTAGCTCATATCAAATACTAATATTATCAATAGATTGAAGTGTTCTGGTCATTGTTTGACACAAATGTGGCAGTCGAAGGAGTCGAAGAAGTATGTTTTTAATTTACCAGAGGATTATGGCCAGTTCCTGAACAAACACTATCCATTAGCCTGCCAGCCAATCAGTACATGTTACATATATCACTGTGTGATCAGCAGTGTTAAAAAGCTAATCATCAATGATGAGCATCATACATATTATTGCTAGATTGTTATCTGCTTTATATTTAGTGTCAGGCAGTGTACCAAAGAAAAGGTCTGGGTGTTACTTGATTCAGGGGTGATTGTTTTAAGCGCATACTCACTTGAGCATCCTCTCATTGGTCTCCTCGTCAGCACAGAGAGAGGACGAGAAGATGAGGCCAAAAGAACCAAGTGGTTGCCGAGTGATTGGGGAGTTTGCCTGGCGGTTTGAGAGTCCCACCACGGACGGTGAGTCCCGGAGGACCGAGGAAAAGGGCAAGCATGTGGGGGCGCAGGACACAGACATGTTTACCACCTCAACCACCTTCTTGTTCACAAATGCCAGGCTTGATGTGGGTAATTTGGAGGGTTTGCCTTGACTGTCATCGGTCTGGGAATCCATCCGACTTGCCCTGGAAGTGATAGGACAAGCTGGGGTCTCCGCCACAACGCCAGGCTGCTGACTTAGACCATCACCTAGCTGACTACGCTCCTTTTTATCAGTCTCATTCAGCTGATCTTGATGGAAACTCTGGTCATCATTTAGCAAAAACTTTTCATGGACTGACCTCAATGGATCTTCCAGTTTTAACATACTGTTACTTTGGGTGTCCTCTGAATTCCCAAACATTTGGGTGAATGCTGTGTCATCAGTACAATGCCCCTTGAGAAACTGCTGAAAAAGCAAGACTTCTGGTACTCCACGCAGCACGGATTCCACTCCCAGAATGTCTGAATGATTTTCTTTAAGGCCAGGCTTGTCAGAATCATCAAAATCTTTTGAGCTATCATAGCTATCCATGTAGGGTGCATTTTCTTGCTGGATAGTGACCGGCCCCCTGTTCAAGAAAGTATTTTCATTCTTCAGGATATTATCAATACTCTCAGCTGGAGACTCAATAGGTTTGTCATCTTCTGTGATACCGGGTTCTTCCCGATCATAGCTTCCAGTACCCTCACTTTCTTCATCTAGGTCCTGGTTTGCCAGCTCCTGGTCCTCTTCGTTATCCTCAGGACTGCTGATCTGGGGCGCTGAGACAGACTTAGTCAGTTTGCTGAGTTCCACATCCTGCTCTTCTTCATAAGGCAGGGAGCTAATGGAAGTGAGTGAGGCCTGGATGCCACTGGGCAGGCTAGTGTTGCTTTCCGTCTGGAAGCCCTCCAGGGAGTTCCTGTGGACTGTGTGCCTGCGCACAAGGTGCTGCAGGATGTCACGCTCACTGGAGAAGTCGGGAGGCCGCGAGCGCACTTCTGGACATGCCATAGAGCTGGGCTCACTCTCAATTCCTGAGTCAGAGATGACAGAGGAGGACCTCTTCATAGCCTTTGAACCAACACTGCTGCACCTTCTGTGTGCTCTCCCTGCTTGAAGGAGGTCCTCTCTCCGTAAATCGGCAGAGAACAGTGGAGTCGTGTAGGGCTCTGAAGGAGGTGTCTCTGAGGTAGATGAAGAGGTTAGTAGCTGGTCTTCATTACCATCACTCTTGCGCTTTGTCTCTAAAGTGGCCATGGGTGTCATTTCACTGTCCAAAACACACCCTTCACACTCTTTCTCACTAATTGCTCCATCATTGTTTTCATGGATCTTTATTAAAATACCGCTCCCATGGTCACCCTGCTGTAAGTCATAGACTTGCGAGAGGTTTTTGCTGTCATTGTTGGCTGATGCCAGGATTAGTACAGCATCTCCCCTATAAGGGTCCTCATCGCTGGGCCTGACTTCAATATACTTCAGGCCTCTGCTTGAGTCGTCCTCCACGTCAGTAGTGCAAGGCCTCGAGGCAACTGTTTCCTCACAGTGTGAGACATGCTCGCCTGCAGACGAGTCAGCCTCTTCACAGCTATCATTACCTTGTCTCTGCTTTGCTATCAAAGAAACATATGTAGACGGGTCTATACGGTCATTGCTGTTGAGCTGGCCCTTGTTTATTGCTGGTGCAAGAGAGTCATGTTCCACTGGAGGGCTGGTGGGTTCAGCAGCTGTTGTGGGGGTATCGGAAAGAGCTTGCTGGCCAGACACAGAGGAGATTGGCACATGTGATGGACTGGGTGCGACTTTGTCTACCTTGTGATCTAAATTTGAAAATAAAAATTGAACATATTTAATTCTATTCATTTCTGACAATGTCATGAAAGTTCACAAGCAGAAACAGCAACAATGGATGATAAAATGTTAACACGGTATATTGTAAAAAATACATAATACAGTAAAATTATATATGGAATATTTATGTATATACCATAATCTATGCACTTTATCAAAATCAATGTTAAAAAAAGCAAAATTCTGACCCAGACAAGGAGACTCGACATATCTGTCTTCAAAGATGATAGGGAGGCTATTCCAGTCTCCATCGATATCTAGGCACTCAACGGGCAGAGGGGGCATTCTGGTCAGATAGTCGGAGTTTCGAGTCTCAACAGCTATCTGCCCATGTCTTGTGATTCTGCACGGAGATATCAGCAGTTATCTCTCTTTGTTTCTTGTTCTCTCAGTTTTCATCAACTGATTTGCCAAAAAAACTATCATTTATGCTAGGAAGTTAGGAAACTTACAAGTCTTCCTGGAACGTTAAAGAGGACTCTTTAGAATGCTCGGTAAAGAAGTAAGCCTCCGAGAATCTTCTCACCTGGATTATGAACGCAGAAAAGTACACCGAGAATAGGAATCCTTTTATGCGTAGCTAGAAAACATGAAGGAATGTTTCACTAGAGGTGATTTTTCTATGCTTACCCGTAATGTGTGGTGTTCCTGGGACAAGAATGAGCGAACATCAGCATGTGGCACCACAGTCTCCAGGAACTGGGCCCACAGCGCCGCAAGGTGAGAGCACAACTGCATCAGATCTCGGCTGATCTGCTCCGCCACCTTCTCGTGGCAGGTCTGCAGCTGTCAAGGAAAAGGGTTTATGGGTGTCATTGGGCACATTCATTTTAATCAAGTTTTTCTCTAATCACTGTAAGAGACCACAGATTGTTAGGTGTTGGGTTTATGCAATCTCTCAAATCTTTGAGTCATGTTTGAATGTTTTGTGTATACCTGTAGTTCAGTTGATAGCTGAGTAAGCGTCTCTTCTATTGGCAGCTCATCTATACAGGAGTCAAAAGAACAGAAACATTATGGTGACACAAGTTATAATACTGTGATATTATGATAAGAATTCCTGCGTGAATTCTTCGAGATAAAGTCTTTGAGAAAGACAGGGCACATCTGGTAGCTGCCTGGAAACTATGGACTGCAATCTCTTAACATTAAATATACAATAAAGGAACAGCAAGCAGTCATACTTCACAAGAATCTAAAGTTTAAAGCCTAATTCAAACTTCACTAAGATGTATTTCACGCAGTGTTTGAAAATATATCTTAGGCATGCTATTTGGTTTTATCCTGTAGTGCAGGATTGTTCAAATCACGGTCCTCGAGGTCTGAGCACTGCTGGTTTTCCAGCCTTCCTTTACCAGTGAGCCAGGTGTGAAGCCTCTGACCAATCAGAATCGGTAATTATTAAACTACCTACCTGGGAAACCTGAAAATAAGGATTGGAAGCCTGGATATGGAATCGAAGTCCAGATTTGAAGAGCCCTGCTATAGTAATTACAGTATATATGTAAAACTATGGATATTTTTCCCAGTAAAACTGTAAAGATACATTTTCAGAACCAGAAAATTATATAAGAGGAGTCTCTATTACCTATTTCCACCTGTGTGAGCTGAGGGACCTCTTTCATCAGCCCGATGTAGTACAAGCGCAGACCCCTGTGTGCGGCCAGCAGGAGGCGACAGAGTCTCTGGTGCCACATCTGAGCACGCTGCAGGCAGTTCTCAGATGGCACATAGAAACTCCCCTGGTGAGATGAGAGCAGGCTCACATCAGATGCCTGACCTTCACATGAGACTCTTACAGCATCAAACAGGCCTCACCAGAGCTCTTGCCCTTTGCCCGTCACGTTAGCTGTCAGAAACATGCGCGAGCACAGTGGATCAGCAGGTACTGCGTCATATAGAATTTCACACAGTATGAATGAGCATTTGGTTGCGCGTAGTGTGTGTGCACAGGGGTAGCATGTGTACGTTGCTGCTTATTCGATGACTATGTCAATCTCCCATCAAAAATAACCGTATGTAAGACCATAACAAGACAAAAAAATATGGAAAGCCATCATTCAAAGAAGAGATTCGAAGACATTTCAAAGTCCCCTGTTTTGAAAAAGCAGATATATGGAAAGTCTCCGCATCTATAAATCGGCTGTAACAGTGAACTGAATGTTGCAAACCCGTAAGGCGGTGATGAAGAGGCTTGACAATGGAGGGCTTCATTATAACACAAATAAAGCAAAAAACACTTCAGTATTTGTTCTACCTGTCTAACACAAGGACGAACAGTTTAGCGCCCCTGCCCACAGCCCGCCACTGCGTGACACTGTATTTATTTATGCTTTGCACTGTACATACTTGTCTATTAACAGGAGTGTAAGTAACTCCAGTGGACTGTTAAGTCAAAATGTTAATTACTTTGATCCAGCTGTATTTGTAAGGTGACTGCTTAAGTTCTGCACGTGTGGTTCCAAATGCCAAGCATGGAGAGGCAATGTCACGGTCTGAGGATGCTTCGCAGAAGAGCGGGTCATTTTCACCAAATCCATGGCAATCTCACTCAGCATGGCCACCATACTTTAAAGTGTATAAATAAGTGACCCCAGCAGCTCCCTGATACCCACTAATGATGCACAATGCCCCAGAAATCTGTCATTTCGTTATTCAATGGTGGAAAAAACTGCTGGAAACAAGTTTTACCTCTGAAACCACAGCCAGCATTGCAGCTTGCAGCTTAGGTGGTATTTCAGTTTTAATTCTATTTTACCATCCAGACATTATACCGCAGTATATGGTTTTTTGATGGTATTTTAAAAAGCAAACCTAGTCAGGCATTGCTGTCATTGTTGGCTGATGCCAGGATTAGTACAGCATCTGAAGGTCCTGCTGAGCGGGGGGGGGAGGGGAGGTAAACTGTTGAATGAAAATAACACTGAATACTGTATTACTGCAATACTGCTCAATACAGCACCCATGCCCCCCCCACCATCCACCTTCCTGAAATCAATATGCCTAAGGATGTATGTAGGCAATTTAATTTCCCAAAAAACTTTTATGCTAACTTATTAATAACGTTTTATAAAAGTCAGAAATATGTCTGAGTTTTTATCCAACAAAAACATGATTTTTTCGGACATGACAATGCCCCCCTCCCCATTTGTCTTCTGTGGTCCTTGATAATCCAGCCATCCATCCACTTTCTGAAACTGCTTGTCCTATTTGGGGGGAGGGAGTCCCAGAGGCTGCAGCCAGAAGGCAAGGAAGAGCCCAGGACAGAGTGCCGCCCCATCACAGGGCACTCACACACCATTCACTCATACCTATGCTCAATATGGTAACCCCCCTCAGCCTCAGTACATTTTTGGACTGGGGGGGGGGATCAGAAATTCCCTGAGAAATGTGAGGCAACAGTACTAACCACTACACCACCATGCCATCCTATTAGTAATGATACTGTACATACAATAAATAAAGTTAGTTTTACACAATAGATTTGCACATGTGGGTCTCAATGCAAAAACAACTGGACTGTGCCCATGTTGGTTCAAAGGAAAACAGGTATGCCTAGACAAGGAAATGGTGTTCTGACAGTAAAGCAGTGTGATACCATTGTCCTTTGTTGTGTTCTTCACACACGGATGTGTAGATGGGCGACAGGAGTTCAGGAAGCACAAAAAAAAGTGCTAAAATACCATAATAATCCTACAGCCCATAACCCTATAGCGAAAATGTTTACATTGTGTTATTCCCATAATCAGAGGCGCGTTAACATGCTCAGAGGGCCCCCTGTAATTTTTTATGGGAAGGGGTTGGGGGGGCATGCTAAGATTTGTTTAAAAATGTCGGGTGGGGATCTCCAGACATGAAAATACAAGACTGGTTCATAACTGGTTCATTTAATCTTCAATTTGGGACGATCCTGTAAAATACAGGACATGCGGCAGCTTGAGGTTTTAAATATTATTAAACAAGGTTAATGAGGCCCATTTTTAATAGAGCCCCCTGGACTTCAGCCTGGGTAAGCCTGTGCATTAATGCACCCCTGCCCACAATGCGTGGCTAGTCTGTTTGGCATGTTAACAGTACATGTTTAGCAAATGGTCAGCTACTACAGCTACTACTGTACTTCCATTCTTGTGAAACATCTGCTGCCGGAACATGTCATTTTTAACCATCCTGCAATGTAATATTCCGATCCAGTAGATGGTGCTCTAATACGCATCGTACATTTTCAGGCGTTTCTCATCTAGATAGCATGAGCACATGCTGCCAGACGGCCACATGGTGAGAGCTGACACCAAAGCACCTTGCTTTCAGTTGCATCACTGATAGCTTTCTTGCATGTACGATAAAGTCGTCCTCACAGGCCGCATGTTTTTCACATTCCTCTCGAACATACCAAAGGCCTCAAATTCACCAGGCCATGCAGTGCGGAGCACTCCCTGACATGTACTATAATTTTCACACTGCGCAAAGGCCTGCCCTGTCATCACATACCTGTGTACACTGTAATTCCAGCTCTCAGCGCACTCACACCAGAAAATAACATCTGCACATTCTTCATTTTTCCTCCGTTTAAAGATAGCAGGCAAGTTATAACTGAGAGCGGAAGTAAAACTTTGGTAACACTTAAAGCAGTCATCATAATACATTATAAATAACTTCATAATGCATTATAATGCATTCATAAAGTATTATAAACATGGCTATAAATATTCATTAAAAGGCATACCACATAATAACCATGTTTATTATGCATTTTGAACATTTTATGAAGATCTCATCTATTTATGCCTTTTTATAAATAGTTATAGCCATCTCTGTAACACTTTATGAATGCATTATAATGCATCATACATGAGCAATTTAAGTAAAGTGTTACCAAAACTTTCAATAATTATGTCATTTTATTTTACTTTCCTGTGAAGTCTATTTAAGTGTCACAAGTGTGTGACCTGTATTTCTGTAAGTCCTATTTGAGTTAATTTAGTAGTAAAATAAAACAGTCCACACACTTTTGCATGCTGCATGACTGTGAGATTATACAGTCACAATATCAGAGAAAAGGTATAAACGTAAACATTGTCAGTACTTCTTGCTTTACTTCAAAAAATGTGCTTGTGAAGGGTAGACTGAATTAATTACAGGAAGACATTATATCACAGGTGATATATGTTACAAAGTGCCCTGCAGTGCAGTATGGGATATGTCTGTAATCCAAACCCTTCAGGTAATCACATGTCCATCTGCTACAGATGGCAATTATGAAATCCAGTTTTTCAACATCCAATGACCTTTACAGACCTAATTAACAGCTGTATTTATGGAACAAGCACTTCATTACTTCTTCCAAACTGGTGTCTGTTTAAGTATTTAATATAATTATTAATTATATAATAATATACAGTACAGAATAATATACATCTATAAAATTAAGGGAGAATGTTTTTCACCCTGCATAACTTTACCTAGAGATCTGCAATATGTACCATATAAAGATCGTGCACATTCCAACAGCTGAGCAATCTGCTGAATAAAACGCTACATAAAAAAATGCCAACAGCAATGTTCTTCAGCACTGGCGAAGCCGTGCGAGAATTTAGCTGATTTAGTTTAAACTAATGTTACGGCGCACAGCAAATTCCACAACGAAATGGGTTTTCCTATAAAAAAAAAAAAAGCCCCTCTCGTTGAACGTGGCACCATAAAGTGAAAAGTGCTGTGGGACCCTGTAAATAAGTAAATCGGGGGGCGGGGGGGGGGTGCAGCGAAAGGAGCCTCAGCAGAAGTAACGTGGCGGAGAAACAGAACTCATTACCGCGATCAAAAGGGGAACCCTGTGTGCGAATTAAAGCCCCCCGACGGGGGGGAGGTGTAAAACCCCAGAACCAGGGGCCAAAAAAATTGCTCTCATTAGAATGGCACAGCTGTTGCTGCAAGACCCATGGGGGAAAAAACTGAGATGCATGTTAAATAAAAATAAAAATGCAGCTTTTAATAGGATGGGATATATCCTATAAGCCCAAACAGGGAGGATCAAAGAGGACATATGTCTTAAAATCAGAGAGGGTCCGCGCATAAATGAAACTGCAGAGACGTCCGCTTGTTTCCCCTCTCTCCCAGTTTTCACATTTTACTTTAGTTGCCTCAAGTATATTTGTTCATAAAAAGGGAAGTCAAAGCAATTATAATTAAGATCAAATGATATCAGTCGGGCAAAGTGTAGCACTAATGCTGGTGACTGCTGCCTAGCTGAGACCTGACTAACGGTTAGTCATGTCTTCTGGGGACACAAACTTTCATTCCATTCAGCCTCAGTCTGTTTTCTATTGTAAGCCTCAGAAGGGTTCCACAGAAACAAATTACCACTTACATCAAATTAATACAATAAAAATGCAAAAAGAAAAAGACCTTCACTTGACAATTGCAGAGTTACCGTAGGTATCAGCAGTTATAGGTCAACAGACAATAACCTGCTCAGGAAATATGCTGTATATGTCACAATGTAGTGTGACGCATCATTTTATTGTGCTATGTGCATGCAGGTTTTAAAAGGGATCAGTAGGAAACAAAGGGTTATACAACCACTCCTCGTTTAGCAACCAAGTTCTGGTTGATAATCAAAATGGTCACTAAGTGAAAATCACAGTAGCCAAGACATGACTGCCACTGTGCTTATAACTTTACTTAAGCACTCCTATGCAGTTTCTTTTATCATTCATGAAGTGGGCATTTTTAGCATCATTTTGTATATTCTCAGTCATGTGTCGCTTAACGATACGTTTTGCGAAATGTGTCGTTAGGCAATTTCGTTGTTGTGCGAATATCATAGAGCGTACTTAAACCAACCTAGATGGTATAGCATAGTACTCACCTACGGTACATGGTATAGCTGAAATAACAATAAAATGTATAGTAAAGTAAATACATAAAATAGTAACACAGTTATTATCATTATTAAGTATTATGCACTATACATAACTGTATGTACTATACTCTTATACGACTGGCAGGACAGTAGGTTTGTTTACACCAGCATCACCACAAACACGGGACTAAAGTGTTGCACTATGACATTATAACAGTTACGACGCCGCTAGAAGAATTTTCAGCTCAATTATAATCTTATGGGACCATTGTCATATATGCTGTCTGTCGTTGACTGAAACTTCGTTATGCGGCACATGACTCTACTTCAAAGATCTCTCCCACTTGGCATGCATTGTTGTCAGGCATGCAGAATTTGGTCGCAATTTTTTATTATCGTCATATTTACAAAGGGTCACAGGCTAATTGCTATAAAAGGAGCGGTTGTAGTTTCACATAAGAAGCAGCTACCTTAAAATACAAACCATGTTTTCACGCAACAAACATGACAACTGACTTAAAAGCCAACTCAAGCGAACTTCAAGCGAAAACAGCATGATAGACATTAACCTTCCTGTCCAGAAGCAGCAACGTTCTTTGTTGCTGCTACAACACTTGGTTAGATAAACATTCTCTGAGGATATTCAGATACACGCTGGATATGCCATACCTCAGGTAAAACAGGCTTGCAGTAGCCAGCCCCGAACATGAGGTTTTCCATAGACATGGCAGACGGATCGGTGCCATTCTCGAGGGAACCCTTCCCCAACCAGGAGCCTTTGCCTGATCGAGCAAAGCTGCAATGATAGGAGACCTAGTGTCAATTTGAATAACATAACACAAGTGTCGTCTATAGAGGTGTACTTATTATAAAGCAGATCAGATGTACATGTCTTTGAGGCTAGATAGATGGCCATGTATTGCACACGTATAACATATTTACATTTATTTGCCCAAAATATAATACTTGCACATGTGCACAACAGGGTTGCTCCTTTGTTAAACATTTTTCATTTTCGCATAATTTTCTAAGTCAATGATAGCTTTCTTTGCTTGTAAAATTATTGTATTTCTAAGCAGTAATCAGACACATTAGTTTCTTTACTCAACCCAGTCCTCCTGGTCCCCCTTTCACAGTCCACATTTTTGCTCTCTCTCAGCTGCCAAAACAACTATACCAGGTATTTGGTGTTTTTGATTGACTGGGAGCAGGGAGGCAGCAAAACACTGGACTGTCTGTGGATCCCTGAGGACTGGGTTGAGTAATACTGCAATAAGTCATATCAACAGTAGACACTTCATGCAATGTCAGGCAGAAGGCTGAGCCCATGCGCTTGTGTGGGTGTGGGCAGTACAGTCAAGGGAGTCACCTGATCAGCGGCTGATGCAGAGCGACCAGCGAGGCATGGATGGAGACGGAGGTGACGGAGAGGTGGAAGTAGTCAAACATGACTGGGACATGATGGTGCAGCCCCCTGCGGGGATGGAAATGCAGGCCGAGGGTACGGCTGCTGATAGGAGGGACGGCCCCCAGTTCATTCAGCCTGGAAACCACAGCACAGTGAAGCAATTAGGGCAGTCCAATGAATCAGAACTATCTGCTTACCAGCAAGGGCAGGTACAAATACACTATATTTCCAAAAGTATAGGGACACCTGCCTTTAAACACACATGAACTTTAATGACATCCCATTCTTAATACATAGGCTTTAATATGGAGTTGGCCCACCCTCTGCAGCTATAACAGCTTCAGCTCTTCTGGGAAGGCTGGGAATTTTTGATCCCTCCTCCACCAAACTTTACCCTTGGCACAATGCAGTCAGGCAAGTACTGTTCTCCTGGCAACCGCCAAACCCAGACTCATCCATCGGATTGCCAGACAGAGAAGCGTGATTCGTCACTCCAGAGAACACGTCTCCACTGCTCCAGAGTCCAGTGGCGTCGTGCTTTACACCACTGCATCCAACACTTTGCATTGGACTTGGTGATGTAAGGCTTGGATGCAGCTGCTCGGCCATAGAAGCCAATTCCATGGAGTTCTCTATACACTGTTCTTGAGCTAATCGGAAGGCCACGTGAAGTTTGGAGGTCTGTAGTTATTGACTCTGCAGAAAGTTGTCGACGTCTGCACACAGATTTTACGTGACCTACCACTTCGTGGCTGAGTTGCTGTTGTTCCCAGTTGCTTCCACTTTATAATACCACTAACAGTTGACTGTGGAATATTTAGTAGCGAGGAAAATTGGAATGGACTTGCCGAATGGACTTATTGCACAGGTTGCGTCCTATCACGGTATCACACTTGAATTCACTGAGCTCCTGAAAGCGACCCATTCTATCACAAATATTTGTAGAAGCAATCTGCATGCCTAGGTGCTTGATTTTATACACCTGTGGCTATGGAAGTGATTGGAACGCCTGAATTCAATGATTTGGAGGGGTGTCTCAATACATTTGGAAACATAGGGTATGTTAAGCTAGCCAAAACATCATTTGTAAAGACTATAATGCTTAATCGTGTCTATAAGACTTTTGCTCTCTCTGCCTATTCCTCTTTTCATAATATGAACAATCCATTATTGCTGGGAGAGATAATTCAATGGAGAAATACGGTAATAATGTATAAGTGCATAACATCTCATCCATGTGTATAATGTACTATACATCTAAGTCACTGCAGAAGGGCACTGCTCAAAATACCATGTGAAATCACAGCACAAGCGATGTGAAATTTCAGACAGGTATGTGAAAATCAGTAACTTGGCGGAAAACTGATACGGAGGCGAGTGATAGAAGCAGAGAGCGGCACTGACTGCTGCTCATTGTCGGTGAAATGCAGGTCCAGCTTTAAGTGAAAGTCCACTTCACTGAGGGCCTCTTCAACCTGCGATGACGAAAGACGCAGAGCGAAGAATGAACTTAAAGTAAAACGGAAAGACACTTTTCACCAGTCCCAAAAATAGCCAAACAAAAATTAAATAAAACTTAATAAAACATCCATACAAGATCAGGTTAAGAACATTAAGAGTGAACATAAATTAATGTGATTTAAATGTATCCAGTATCTATTTCAAATTCAGGCACAGACAGTATAAGACCTGCACCGAAGCTGTTAAGCTAACAGCAGAAACCGATGTCAGTCTGAAGCATTAAATCTCTCCTTTTCTTCCCTGTTCATTTACAGTACATCATGGTAAAAACCCTGAAGACGACTAATGAGAATATTCACTGTGAGAAGTGTCTCCTAACAGCTGATATGCTCTCCAGCTATAGTATAAATATATAATATTATATAATAAAAGTTCTAAAATTAGGCAAAGACAACAAAGTGACCATTTTTATGGCTTCCAAATTTTTGTTCCCTTTCCCAGACTAGGACTAAAAATTTATTTAATGGAATACTCATTGAAAATGATCATTTTAAGGCTTGACATCCATTCCTGACGCTTATGTCCTTGGGGAGTCACAATACGATAAATATTGTTATACTCATTAAAGTATTTTTCTAAATGGCTTCTGAGTAAATGTTAGATGGACTAGGAATGACCTTGTGAGGCAGTACAATTACAGCCTGTCAGGCCTGCTTTCTGTGACTCACGATGTAGCATTACCGCCAACATCGATAAATTTAGTTACGTTGCGTCTAAACAAAATTGAAAGGGCTCTCTGAGGCCAAGTCCTGCATAGCGCATTGAAGGATTCTGCTCATTCCCGTCATCGACGTGCAAGACGGGCAAAGTGAAGCTTCAGAATCTAATTAATTAGAAACACATTCAAGGTATTACACATCTTACATGTGCGATTCTTATTTAGAGGTTGCTTCTAGACTAATACGAGCTATGGCAAAAATAGTAGAAGACTTACTCTCTCTCCATCTAGGAGCAAATGAACTCTGAAGACCATGCAGTCATTCAACGCTATTTCCTCATTCCTGTACAGGATCTGAAATATCTTACTGAAAGCACTCCCATCGTGTACGCCTGCAGACAAAAAACTGCAGTCACCTAAGAGTGAGAAACAAAGAGAAACAGGACAACTGAATTAACAACAGTTACGTTTTCTAAAGCTGCAAACAGGTTATCTGAGTAGCATAATTGATTCACATTACACTAAAATGTTTAATAGTTAGTCAAATATAAAATGTGTTAAAATCAGTAACACTCTACTTAAAGTAGTCATCATAATGCATTATAATGCATTCATAAAATATTATAAACACGGCTATAACTGTTTATAAAAAGGCACATTATAGCCATGTTTATTATGCAGTATGATTGCTCTGTGAAGCTCTCATCTATAATATACTGTACTATAAATACCATAATCCATTATGATGGTCAGTATAAGCCAGATGAGAGCTTCATAGAGCATTCATAATGCATAATGTGGCATTATAAAGGTATCTACACATGGGTGCTTTAAGTAAAGTGTTATCAAAGAATCTTAACCTGCAAATTAATTTATTTGTTCAGCACAGTGTTTCCCAGGAGGTTCCTCTGACCCTCAGACAGTCCATGTTTTTGCTCCTTCCCAGCTCCCTGCCAGACAGTCCATGTTTTTGCTCCCTCCCAGCTCCCTGCCAGACAGTCTACCAGGAGCTGGGAGCTAGTTCCAGCATGAGAAACACTGGTTTAGCAGACAAGCTGATTTAGGGAGTATTTTACAGTATGAGATGGACACTCCCATTTTATCTGTTCATACAGTAAAATCTCTCATTATAGCAATGTCCTTCGTCCTCTGGTCACATGGTCATTGCCTTAACCACACCCCCTTGCTGAATCATGCGGTACTGCGGGAGAGACTATTCATCTGCTCATTCACTTGGAAACTCTGCAAAGCCTCTCAATTTATCTCTCAAGCTCTATAAAGCGTAATCAGCTTACAGACCGCCGTCGTAAGCTCTATCCTGAGCCATGCGCATAAACACATCACCAGAAATAAATTGTCCATCCTAATTTTTGCGGTGGTTAGCATATAATACAATAGCTGATTGATTAACACGAGTAAGGAATTTATAAAGATGTATATTAGCCTAAAAAATAAACCAGTGGTACAGCAGTCGATTTGTCGCTGCAACCTGATTGTGACACCTGGAAAGGTGACCATTAGTACCCCATCCAGCTACAGCTGGCATGTGTCAGGCATGTGTCAAGGAAGATTATCAATAATGTGCGTCTTGACCCGATGAGAACATGACAGGCATGCGCCACAGCGGTGTGCAACATGCGACGACGTGGGAGGAGCCAGAGAGAGAGAGAGCGACGTGCTGCAGCCCAGCTGCCTCATCGCTACATACACAAACCGCATACCTACTATAACTGTGTGCGAGGGGGCAGCCTCAAGACAGGCACTGCAGAGGAGCACTCATTGGGGGGGGGGGGAGGGAGGGGCTTAGTGCATTCTCTGCAATAATGCCTCATTTGACTGTGGATGTCATTTCTACAAAAGAGTAAACAATTACTGATGCAATTCAATTAAGTCAGTTCTCATTAAATCCACTTATCCTCCATGAAGACTATAATACTCTCAAACCCTCGGATATTAATTAACGCAGCGCTGTCCCTGTTCTGCCTGTATGATTATGAATGAAAAAGTAAACAGTGTAACATTGGCCCAATCTCATCTAATTTTTTATTTAAGTGAAAAATGCAAAAGCACATTTTCGAATGCATTTCGTTCATAACGGGTCCGGGAGTCTGTGACACAGTGCATGATCGGTAGCTAAATGTGTAAACTGTAGGCCCGTAAAACATCCCAACAGATGTCATCTCACGTAAAAGGAGCAGCGGCGCGCACAGCACCCACATTTATGGTGGGAGGAGAACCCCTTTCGGATTCCAGAGAATCCAGTAAAACCACTTACTGTTTCAAATAAAACCCCACAGCGCCTATTATAGTCTGGAAGGTGCCTAAAACATGAAGCACTTCGGACGGCATCCGTGTGCAACATACAGGGAACTCAGCCGATTTCAGGAACATCAAAGCCAACAGCAGTATGTATGTCATCAATGAAAAGGCGGATTACAGAGGCATTCGCACAACCTCAGTGTTAGGAAAACTTCTACAGCTATTATAGCATCCAATTTGAGAGCAAGACAAGCTTTGGAGCAGTTTAAATTCTTTTAATCAGATGCTAAATTCTGCTTGCAAGGAAAGAATACTAGTCTGCAAGTCGTGATATGCCATAATTATGAATGTGATTTGCATGAAATACTCTGTGACTGTCTAAGACTACTTTACGTAGGCCATTTTATCATGAATATATATTTATCATAGATTCATACATTGGCAAATAATATTATAAACATGATAAAACATTCCACCCAAATTGTGGTCACTCTGTGACCTCATTTTGTGGTGTCCGCTGGGTGCTGGAAGAAAACCAGCCCTTCTGTTTATGCACCTCGACCTTTCACAGCTAGACAACGGCTGCAGTCCGTGCTGCTCTCACCTGTATATCCCGTTGTTGTTGCTATCAACCGGTGTGGTACACGAGAAGAGACCTTCAGCCCAGTACGGACCTGATAGAACCTGAGGGAATAAGATCGTAAGGTGATTCTCCAGCAAGAAATTCCACACCAGAAGAAAACCGAATCTACAACTCATTGTGCTCCTGAAAAGAGTATTTAACATCATCTTGTAATACTGTAACTTTGCTTTCATGCTTCTGAGAGTATTTGTACAATTAATTTGTGAGAAATGCACTCAGTGAAGTAAGAGAGTGTTACCAACTCCCTTATGGAACATAACTGCTGTTTATTGTAATATGCATATACCCAGTGAATACAGTATACCGATAACCAGCATTTCCCAGTCCTGCTGTGTGCTCTTTTTTGGCCTGTCTGAGCTCTTAGTAAATTTGCCGTGGTTAAAATGCCAAGTGAATTGCTGAAATTCAAAATGTGAATGACTGTGTGTGAGCTAATGGCGAGCTTCAATTCGGCAGCTGCGTGAATGAAAATCGGTGTTCAACTTAAATGTAAACAAATATTTATACAATTGTTCATTAACATCACGTACACAATTATGAATTGATGGAAACTCACCTGGTGCTACAAAAATTATGACATAAAAGATGCAAGATGTGCACTTGTATTAAATGATTTAAATGCATCATAAATATACATAATAAAAGAAGAAATAATGTAAAATACTAAAAATAATGGGGAAACAATAAAATAATAAATAATGTGTTAAAATAATAAATAATGTGATATGCAATTTACAAGGACTAATGGGGCACCATTATCCAGAGCTATCATCAGCAGTGGTCACTGCATTGTCCAGTTACAGATTTCTGTCAGCTGACAAGGTTACGGATATCGAGACGTATAAGAGCGTTCTTGGTAGCCCCGTTTGGCGGCCGTATCAATACTGTGTTGTAGCCCTATGTAAAACATACATAAATCAATTAAAATTTACACAGAATGCATCGGGACCATGTACCCATTAAGGAAAAAGCCGGCGGGGCCGTAAGTTCTTTTAGAAGTCAGATGTATAGTGATTTACCGCTGTTGATCCTAGAAAGTCGGTCTAATGCGCGTCCCACCTTGAACTCCTTAAGGGCAATACTGCTCGTTTTATTGCACAGCAGTGACTTCGTTTTCGTTTCTACAGTTCACGAATGCAAAGTGCATTTTTTTGAAGGGGTCGTGCTGTTTTAAAATAGCAGGTATTTTTCTCTACCCCTCTCAGCGAAACGAATTAGTGCCGCCACCGTGAGGTTTTTAGTTTGTGGAAACCCCTCCTGTTCATAAAATCGAATCTTGCAAAACCAGGTGTTTATTGAGCCAAAAGCCAGATACGATTCTATAACAGCTACCTCCCCTGCAGAAGTAACCCAGTGCATAAAAACGCCCTTTACTGGCACCGATAATAATGAGTTAATCTGTATGATTAAAACTGGCCGGACCTAGCGAAGGCTCTTCATAAATGGCAGACAGTTAAACATAGAATAAAAAAATAAGTTAGTCAAGCATCCAATGGAAGGTCAAATAGTTTTTTCTATATTGAGCTGTAATTTTCTTTGAGACAATGTACTGTTGTGAAAACGCACTATACAAATAAAATTGAATTTTAAAAATTTATTTCCATTGTGCAGTCAAACTGTAATCCGCCCACCCATCAAAATTACAGCATTTGTGCAGTGTTTAGGACCCATTTGATACGAAGAGCTATTACAGAGTCCTTCAGTACTTCCTGACACCGGCTCCTAAATATCCAGTTCTGTTTATCTACTGTTTGAAGTATTGCCTTTCATTTACTACGTATTTCATTTACTACTTTCCATTTCTTTTCCTAAGGTTTAACTGAGAAAAGAGGGAAAATATACACAGCAGTATCAAAAATGAAGATCCTGCAGTTTAAATGTTTAATAATTTAAAATTCCAGTTTCTGTGATTACCGGGTGGAAACACAATGTTCATCAGAAACTCTCAGCATACTGGACCTGGATCCCTCTCATCCCAAACCATTTGGGTTTCCTGGGGCCTGGAATCGATTCCATTTTCTAAATTTAGACCACAGGACCGATGCGACAAGCTGTAAAAATGCTGACACAAAATCAGATCCCTCTGGTGCAGTACAGTCAGCTCGCTGCTACCGTAGCTTGAAGACAAGACAGGTCAGATTTATTTGTCTTGTATCACAAAATTCTGCAGGAAAAAATTTAAATATAGATTATTTTACAATTCTGTCAGTGTGGAAGGTATTTTTCAGGCTCAGATGCACTTCTCACAGCATCACCCTTATAAACACAATTTGAATTATAAATGATTCAAATGAATAATAAGTAGTATAGTTATGATGTTCTTTAAAATTTTAAAGTAAAATTACTGATAGTTCTTAGTTAATCTTTTTCAGTTATTGACAAAACAGTCATTTGCATTTTAAGAACTGCTCAAAGGAAATAACTAAAGTATGCATAAAAATGTATGTAAAAGTTACATTTATAATGATCCAGCATTATGTTAAGATGCTTGATGTTACAAGATAGCACGTGGAATCTGATCCAGTGTGCTAAAACTCAGCCTCAGCACGTCTGCGGGTCCTTGAGCAAGGCCCTTAACCCCCAGCTCCCTGGGCGCTGCTACGGGTGGCTGCCCTTCGTGGACAGCTTACTCCAGAAAGATCAAGTTGAGGGAGGCGTAAAGACAATTTCCCCATGCGGATTAATAAAGTATCAGTTATTATTATTATGATTAGTCTATAAATGTGTTGGAGTGCATTTGGACATGCAGCCCTGTATTGTGCTAAAGTAAAGACTATATGCTTGTTGATCAAATAGTGGTCATTAAAAGAATCATATCATTAACGCCCAATCACTTTAGTCGACAAAAAAGCCAATGAGGGAGTAGATGTCATCTGATGCCATGGGGTTCCTCATTTCCTGTCCGTCCACCCTAGGAAACAGGGCCGAACCATCCCCTCTGATGGACAGTGCTGTCCCATCCTCACTGAGAGGGACTCACCCTGTTTTCGACCAGGTAGCCCTAGCTCCTCTCCCCCAGCCCCCACCAGGGTCATAAGGTATGTGCACCCATGTCATTTGAGCTCAGCCTAAGAAGCAGAGAAGATGCTTGGATGCAGGGCTGTAAATTCCACCTGGGCCATAACAAAGCAGGCCAGCCACTGGATGTCCTGTATGCTGAGATTAGGTAAAACTGCCTCCCAGCCAAACTGGGGTGCCTTAGTACTCCTTCGGTATGTCATCAGCCACAGCAGACTCCCCAGTACACAAAACGGAGGGATGTCCCGATTAGGACAGATCAGAGCCTAGGAGGGCCAGACACAAGTGGAGCATTGTTTGGCTGGTGAGAAGATTGGCTACCATGCGTTGCTGGACCTCCTGTGGAAAGTCCCCTTGTACCGGAGGCCGCAGATGCATGACTCCCTAATACTTCCTTTGAGTGCTTCTCTGTCCCCCATCCCAACCTCCAAGTCAACAGCAGATGCAACAGTTGGCAGTGTGACGAACTCAATCCTCCTCTTCCTCCGATGGCGTTCTCATTTTCAGTGAACACTTTCAGGTCCTCTGAGAACAGGTCTCTCAATATCCAGCAGAGAAGGTTCCTCTGTCTTAGGCATCTCATTCACTCAAGGACCCTGTGTCAGAAATCCCACCTTGATCTGCAGAGTGTTTGCTTCTGTTCAACATATAACGTGGCCCATGCTATTAATTACTGACAGAATTTCAAGCAGGATTTGAGACTGAGGCTAAATCTATATTTTCTATTAATTGCGGAAGCAAAATGCCTCAACGAGCATTTACAGCGAATCAGCCGATGCCATCGGCTTCTGCCACACAGCAGGAAGCCACTCGACTTCCATTCTCCCCGTCTGGCCTAGTGGAAGCACAGCTGGCTCCCATACCCCAGTTTGCTCTTAGGCACAAGTGGGCCAGCTGTCTCACATTAGAAAAAGAAATAAATGCACTTCCAAACTTCTTGCGAGAGACGCCTGCAACTCACCCAAAGCTCTCAGGGATCATTTCCAGGGAATCTATATACTAAAAAATAAATTACAAGTATGATCGGTCACCCAAACAATACATTGTGAGCAAATAATGTGTTTCTACAAGGGACTGAACCAAGGTCCTAGTTGGGACTCCCCTTCGACTATTTTTTAAAAATATATATTTTTACCCACAATGCGGCGTTTTCTCCAGCACGTGACCTATTTAAACCTGAATCACGCAATGTATAATTTAACTAGTACACATTTCCTTTTGAGAAGCTCAACACATGAATCATATATTACCCTGTACAGAACTACTAAGATTATATCTTTTGAAGAGAGGATAATCGTCTCTGGCAGACTTCAGTGTTCACAAACAATTGTTATTTTGAATAGAAAAGCAGCATAACATTTACCAGTGCAGAGACCTGCCTCTGTACAGCTGTAGAGAGTGTGTTCTCACAGCTACATTATTAAAAGGAGTGTGTGTTATTTCACAGACAGTGGTGTTTTACAGAGAATTGCAATGCAGCTTCATGACACTGGCCATTTTCTCAGGAAGCTGTAATAGAGCCACGTGGAGTGAATTGTGCAAGAATGAAATGATCTCTTTTCTACAAGGATCTTTGGATAAAGCTGTGTTGGGATTCGTTCAGTTTCCTAGCAAAATGAAACAGCCAATATTTTAAAGATAAAAATACGATTTTTTTTTTATTGTCGATGTGTATGCACGCTCATTTGCTCATTCTAATATCCTGTGGACTTTTTAAAGACGTTCCTTAAGGCGAACAGGTGAATGAGATATAATTCCCCTGACAAATTTGATAAGGATGCTTTTATATAGAATGTCTCTCAGCAAGATTATGGTAAATGGGTCTCTATGTTGTACAGGTGCATTCTGTGGGGTCAGTAATCATTCAAAAAAGACCTGATAGACCTGAGACGATCTGCAGAGATGTCTGGCACCCAGGGACATGTTTCAGACAGACATAAAAGTGCAGTGAGCAACTCCCCTCGTTAGCGGAAGTGCTCACGAGAATCTACCCCCTATGGGACAGATGGTAACGGTAAACTATGCCATCTGCAAGACACGGTAACAGTAACCTACACCCTCTGCAAGACACGGTAACGGTAACCTACACCGTCTGGAAGACACAGTAACGGTAACCTACACCCTCTGCAAGACACGGTAACAGTAACCTACACCCTCTGGAAGAAACAGAAATGGTAACCCACACCCTCTGGGAGACACGGTAACGGTAACCTACACCCTCTGAAAGACACAACAGTGGTAAGCTACGCCCTATGGGAGAGACGGTAACAGTAACGTGTGTCATCCAGAAGATACCATAGTTGTAACTCACACCCTTTAGAAAAGACAGTAAAGGTAACCTATACCCTATGGGAGTGATGGTAATGGTAACATATACCATCAGGTAGAGATGGTAACAGTACCCAACCCCTATGGGAGTGATGGTAACAGTAACCTACACCCTATGGGACAGACGGTAACTGTAACCTCTGCCATTCAGAAGACACAGTAACCTACACCCTCTTTAAGAGATGGTAACAGTAAAGTTTGCCATCCGGAAGACAGGGTAAAGGCAACCCTTCCCCTCCAAATAACACAGTGAGTAAGAGTAACCTACCCCCTCTGGAAGAGATCCACGTTATGGAACTTGTGCAGCTCCACAGAAAACTCCACGGTTCCCTGGACTTCAGACATGATCTGTTCCAGCTCATCACCTGTGGCGAAAAAGTCCCAAAAATCAATCCAGCCCATCAATTTTCTTTCCTGCATCAAATCAACAACACACAACAATTTAAATAGTATGCCATCAGTTAATAATAACTTTCCTGTAAACAGAGAATCACATAGTGAAACGCATTTCCATAATGAATACTGGTTACTATGCTTATATAGTGGTTTACATGATTTAAAAATAGAAAACATCCATTGGGGCATCTCCGCACTCTCTGCTGCTAACTGTAGAGGATTCTGCATTCTGCATATTTCACCATGTGCCCCTCTGCTGTTATGTTATACCATATTCCACAATGCACTGTGTCAGTTTGTTTCGAAGTATCTCCTTATCTGAAAGACATGCTTTCACCGTTTCCCAGCAAGCGACCAGTCTTACATACTCGTGTCAGCCAGACTCTCCTCTCACCATGTACAGTGTCTGCGGACAAAACGCAGACTTTCGCCAGCAAAACAATGAGCGCCATGGCATCTAATTAGACAACAATGAGTCATAAGAGGAAATGTCGCTCTTTATCTCTGCTGAGTCCCGGAAGGTCTGCTAAAAGCATTTTGCAAGCTAACGCAAGGACAAATGTAATGGAGAGCGAAACATTAAAAAGTGTAAAATGTCAAATTTTCAATTCCAAATAAAATACCGATCACACTGCAGCTATAAAATATAATTGCTTTAATATCAGGTCTTGAGAAAGTCTTTAAACAGCAGTCACTTTTGAAGCCATTTACACGGTAGTTTTAAATATTGCTTGCTAGTTAATTACTAGTCAGATGATAAGCATTGATACCCAAACCACCACACAGCCGTGGAAAAAATTAAGAGACCGCAGCACAATTTTCTGTTTCATTCATTTCTAAATTTATGGGTGTGCGTTTGTGAATAATAATTTTGTTTTTTTTTTTGCAAACTCCAACCTGACTCTTCTCTGCTTCTCATTAATGAAGGGCTTCTTCCTTGCTTTATGGGTCTTCAGTTCTGCGTATAGCAGCCTGAAATGAACTGCCCTAGCAGTGCACATCACACCTGCACTTAATGTTTCCCATTCCTTTTGAAGGTCACTTGATGTCAAGGTAACAGTCATCTCTGACAGTAGAAAGTCGCTTCCACACTCTGCCAGGATGGTTTCTGATCGTTCCCAGTGTCTCCTGCTTCGCCTTATTTTTATGTACTGCTGTCTCAGAAATGTTGAACCTGGCCAGCTGCCTGCTGCTCAGCACTGCCTTCTGTCAGCAGAACCAACATTAAACCATGATTTAAAAATGCAGATCTGTTAAAAATGCAGAATGGTCTCTTAATTTTTTCTGCGGCTGTATACATCTGCCTTGTGCCCCATGCTGCCTAAAGAGACTTCAGACCCTTTCCCCTGTCATTCTGTCCAGGATAGATGGATGAATATGTTGTAAGACGGATGTCTAATCATTTGCATAACAAAGATTTAAATCAGTATTTTTTCGTGACACAGAATAAAACTGTAACAAAACAACAGATGATTGATGCAGTATCTTTCCTAGATAGGCCAGGAAAGTTTCTAAAGAAGAATGAAGTGTTATGCCAATCCTGTCTGTCCAACACAACGGCTGCCAATTCCTATTCACAGAGCAGAGAGCCTCACACAAAAACACCACAGCATCACTCTGGCGAAGGCAGCCCAAGCATCCCCGGCTCTCTCCTGTCATTTTTCTTTAAATTAATGTACCGAGACGTTCCACATGTCGCCCGGCCAGCACGCCACCCCAGAGCTGGGCAAACGGCCTAATCTCCAGGCTAACCGCGGTGCAGCCATTTCAGAGCCGCCGCTGGAGCCTTCGTCCAGCCCCCTCCCATCCTGGCTGTGCTCACACCATCCACCTGGCACTTCCTAGGAGAATCGTCCACCGTTTGTTTTCATTACAGGCTCGATTTTGACCATGGACACATGAAAATGCACTAAGTGCACTTTCATCTTTTGACTCGGCCGGAAAAATCCTATTTCACGCTACAAGTCTGCAGGGGCACGGGGAAGACATGGAAATAATCACATAATCTGCATAATCCCAGCTTTGTGTGCTGCAATATTTCTCTGCTTTCAGTGACATACATAAATTCAGACAAAAAAATCAGACACAATTCCATGCAATTCATACATTGTAATACAGTAATATTTACATATAGGCAGGGAATGAATATACACATTTCACCCATTCAGTGGAACAAATACTAGAAAGGAAAAGGGTGTATCTTATCAAATGTCAGTTTCCATTTGTGATTTCAAGATACAAATTGATTGAATGTGACTGAGTGCAAATAGATGTTTCACAATGAAAGAAGGGGCTATTCCCCAAACAAACCACAATCTTGTGTGGATGAGTGCTAAGCAACACATTTGTAGAACAGCAAAAACCACCTTAATGGAAAATAATCATTCTAATTGTATTATGTTCTGTGCAAATCAAATTCACACCAACAGACTGAACAGTGTTTTCAGTGCATTACTGGAATGCGACTCGCTGGTCCTAATGAGAAAAGCAGACTTCTTTGGTGAATTTTATTCAACATGTACAATATTAATGTATATTATATCAACAGATCAGGAAAACAATACATTTGTGAATCCTTCGATCATCTGACAGCAGCATTCTCTTACAAATGACATCAATCCAGATGCAATCGATTGTGGTTTTTTATGAACTATATACAAGCATTTTCACCAGCTCAGCTAAATAAGCCAGCAGGCCTACAGGACAAAAAACGATATGAGGTCTCTATTGGTTAATGGGCAATGAAAACCACTAAAAAGGACGTTTCTGGGCTGTCGGTCTGGGCTGTTGGTGATTCCATGCACCAAATGCTCAATGCTAACAATCTTATAATGAAAAGGTTCCACCAATAATTATGAAATGAGTGTTTACCACAAATATTCTTTAATGAATAGTAGCTTTGGTTAAACACAGCAATTCTACTGTAATATTACCACAACATGATCATCAGCCACAGTGGCTGTCTTTGTAAACCAAATAAAACAATCTGTAAATTCTATAAGATAAAGGGCCCCAATGAAACTATATCTGCCATAACACAAATTCACCGGAGTAATAGGTGCCTAAGTTAAACCATTACACATTTTAATAAACTGTGGTATAACATACAGTAAGTAACATTCACTGCAGAATAAAACACTTAACTTTCTGACAGTGTGCACAGATGGTTTGTATAAGCAGGACTGTTGCCTACTAGCATTCTGGAAGGCAAACACAGCACTCGCACACATCACCGCAACTAATTGGCATCACGCTGACAGGTAAGGAAGTGTGTGCTGTCCTCTAACGGTAATCATTCCTGAAAATATCACATTCCTTTCTAATCTGTTGTTACTCTTACGTTCATTGCAGTTTACGGTAGGATCATTTTCATGGCTCTACTCTAGTGCAGTATTTCCCAGTCCGGTCAATGGGGACCCACAGACAGTCCATGTTTTTGCTCCGTGAACTGGGAGGGAGCAAAAACGTGGACTGTCCTGCAGGGAGCTTGGAGGGAGCAAAAAATGTGGACTGTCTAGCAGGCAACTTGGAGGGAGCAAAAATGTGGACTGTCTGGCAGACAGCTTGGCGGGAACAAAAATGTGCATTGTCAGGCAGACAGCTTGGAGTGATCAAAAATCTGGACTGTCTGGCAGACGGCTTGAAGGAAGCAAAAATGCGGACTGTGTGGCAGACAGCTTGGAGGGAGCAAAAATGTGGACTGTCTGGCAGACGGCTTGAAGGGAGCAAAAATGCGGACTGTGTGGCAGACAGCTTGGAGGGAGCAAAAATGTGGACTGTCTGGCAGACAGCTTGGAGGGAGCAAAAAAAGTGGACTATCTGGCAGACAGCTTGGACGCAGCAAAAATGTGTCTGGCAAGGAGCTCGGAGGAAGCAACAAACATGGACTAGCTGTGAGTCCCTGAGAAAGGGATTTAGAAACACTGCTCTAGTGGATTGACCCTACATTTTTTTTCTTAGACCTGAATGCAGTCACAATATTCATTCATTAGCACTATGCAGGTTGCGGGGGTCCAGAGCCTATGCTGGAAACAACAGGTGTAAGGCAGGTCATAACCCAGGACAGGGTGCCAACTCATCACAGGGCCCACACAAGCACATTTAAACCTAAGGGCGATTTGGCAACTCCTGTTCACCGTAGCATACAGTAGTTTTGGACTGTTTAGGGAAACTGGAGGAGGTGGACGAAAACCCACGACAACACGGGGAGAACATGGGAGCTCCACACACATATAGCTGGGGCAAGGAACTCATGGGCAATCATTTTAACCACAGTGTCGTCATTTTAACTTTAATCTCACAATAATTAAATAATAACCCATGTTCTGCATCGCAGACACACCAGAAAACAGGGAAGCTGACTTCACAGCCGTGCTTCACCTGTACCGGTGGAACATTACGTCAGACAGAGTGACAAACATTGACAAGGTTGTGATCCTGACCGGCCCGCAATCTATGACTGTGTTTGTCTTAAATCCACAGCTCATGCTGTATCTCATTCCCCTATACTGCCTGGCTGAAAAAAAAAAATAATTAACTGTATTGAAAGAAAACCCAATTAGTCACAGTCTCTCCCACACACAAATCAGTGTTTTTCCATTGCCGCTGCTTTTCTGCACAGACAAGGTCTAAGGTCTAAACTGTAGAAGCATCACATCAGACACATGCAGACACATGCAGTCTATCTATAGGCTCAAACTTCACCTGTACATATTCAGGCTCTACCCTGCGTTGTACCCTATGCTTCCTCCTGGGACAGGCAGTAATGGATGGATGGATGGATGGATGAAACTATCCACCAGTTCAATGGTTCAGTTAAATTTAGCTATTTTTAATTTTCTGGGTTTTTTTGGGTTTGTTTATACTCGCCGTCTATAATGCAACTCATTTTCTATTGCCTTTCCTTTGATTCAATAAGAAAAAGGGCCTTAATTAGTTACTGCTTTGAATGTGTATTCCAGTTGTAAAA